CCAGTGTCATCTTCCTTGCTAATAAAGTATTCAGCCCTTTCGTTAAGAGTTTATAGAAACAGGAGAACCTCGCCTTCATCATACGCCCATGTAGAAGGATAAAATGTTTGGTGTATTGCTGATTGCAGGGGTTTAAATATACTTGAAGTTTAGTCATCTGTAGTATTAGGTACATGTTTTTTATGAACAAAACATGTTTTTTATCAACAAAACATGTATTTGACATGTTATTTATAGACACGAAGTCATCATATTGAATACCATCGTATCGTATTATGTGATTTGTACAATACAATTTGTGATATGTGTTCTATACTTGATGTCTTTTTCTCTATTAATTGATTTGATTGTAAATGTTTCTTAGATCCATTTTCTTCTATATTTCATTGTCGATATGGATGTTATAGATATATTTGAAACATTATGGATTCTGCATACTTACACTACTTTACTTTAATGAACGGTGAAAGTATGCTACAAGAATTCCCCCAGTGGCGTGTTAAGTGGTTGCATTCGCACATAATGAATGGTACTGTTCACCCATTCAATTTTGTTGAAGGGAATATAATCGTAAGTCACTTGACTTACACGTAACAAATCAATGTAGGTCACAATGGGATAATGGACGCCCATATATGTATTCCATTTGTGTTGGGTGACTACAATTGTGACCTGATCAATACACAGACACACTGGGGGTCTTTGAAGTATCGTATATCTAGTAATGCAATATGTAGATCTATTTTAGACACTAGAATAAATATATTCAAGTTTGATATATTTGCAGTCATGACAATGACAATGCTACTCATCCACTTAAGTTTCCGCACTTAGTAACATAGAGTTATTACTATTAATAATTCCATTTTATCAGATTTCTCACTTGATGAAATGAAAAAATATAATAAGGACTTACAAGTAAAATCATTCAAGGTATCAAATTAAACATATTGCAATTCAAGATCAATTTAAACATATTGCAATACCAAATCAAATTAAGATATTGCAAAACCAAATCAAATTAAGCATATTGCAATATCAGATCAAATTACGCCTATTGCAATACCAGTTCAAAGTAAACATATTGCAATACCAGATCAAATTAACATATTGCAATACCAGATCAAATTAACATATTGCAATACCAGATCAAAGTAAACATATTGCAATACCAGATTGATTAAACATATTGCAATACCAGATCAAATTAAACATATTGCGAGACCAGATCAAATTACTCATATTGCAATATCAGATCAAATTAAACACATTCCAAAAACCAGATCAAATTCAACATATTGTAATACAAGCTTAAACTAAACGTAAATACAATACCAAATTAAATTAAACATATTGCAATACTGGATCGAATAAAACATAGTATACTGCAATACGAGATCAAATTAAATCATTGTAATGTCAGATTAAATTAAACATATTGCAATACCAGATTAATTAAACATATTGCAATACCAGATCAAATTAAACATATTGCAATACAAGATCAAATTAAACATATTGCAATACCAGATCAAATTAAACATATCGCAATACAATAACTAGCACAAAACGCATGAAAGAGAAACATGGAGGAACACAACCAAATATTAGAACAACAAACCCAAATATCCCAAACTATAATGTAATGGACAAAGAAACAATGTCCAACACCCATCTTCCAAAATTCAAGAAAAAATAGTGTTTAAAAATAAGACTTAAAACAGCTCAGAATATAAAACTCAGTATAGGTCACAATTTCCTAAAAATATCTAGGTGCTCACCTTTGGAATGATAAACCAAACGTTTAAAGACATCACCATCCGTTCCATCCATCTTTTAAAATAATTTGAAAACTCAAATGTTATCTCAATACGAATGGAATGAATAATCTACTTTAATAATATCGCGTTTTACTGTCATATATAGATTCTCATGTTGTACCAACTTAAAGGGACACATATATTTTAACAATTGTTATTTTCTATAAGAGCTCGATTTACAAGATTTATCATTGCCTGTTATACGAGACCCTAATGGTCCGCAATTACATTTTCGAACAAAAAGTCGCCAGGGCCTCCTATTACCATTACTTAGAACTATCCTTATAGCTACCTACTGAAAGTCATCAAGGCAACTTCATGCTTGAAATTCAATTATATCACCATTATAACGAATATCTTTATGTCATAGCAAGCCAGTGGAAATTAGACTTAAAAGAACCCTTGCGAAGAATAACAGTATCCTCAGCAATTACTACAAATGTATTACACATACGGAGAAGTACGGATTGTATGTTTTTTTGAAAATCAGTTTCATTGTTATTTTACTCCATTACCAAGAGCTATATTTAAATATGAAATTTCAAAACTGATTTTTTCATTTGGTTGTTTTTATCACCTGTTTCCCAATTGATATTTACGCTATATGTCATGAAAAACAAATGAGAATATTCCATCGCAAGATAATCTATGTGGATAAACATTGCTCATTTTTCATTGACAATAAAAATAAATTGAATAGTTTTCACTTGTCTGTTTTAATCACAACCAAAGTAGTACGATGTAAGATGGACATGTAATCTTAGAATATTGAGAATGGTCACGTGAAGCAAAGGGTAAAACCAAAAATAGAAGATTGGTCCACAAACTTTCATTTAAAGTACACCTATTATTTCGTTTGTTCTAAAATCCATGGTAATAATTATATCATATTTCATTCGAAAAATACAAGGCGCTATATGCCTTAGTTAACATATTATAATATTCTAACGCAAGATGATCCTTGTCTTTGAAAGTTACTGGAGTCAAAACGCAATATGAGATCTCAATGGGCATAAAATGTTTTCATATAGTCCTTATAATGAATGACTCATAAAATGTCTGATTAGTTTCTGTTTGTAATAACAAGGGAACAGCTCAGATTCTTCAAGGAATACTTAGGTACTAAGAAAAACCTAGGAAAAACTTAAGTTATTAACAGATTAAAAATAAATTCACACAAAGCTAGACATGGACTGCGTTTTTGAACTGTCTGCGGTTCAAGTATATTGCATAATATTTAATAAGTTTTCCCCCTAGGTATCATGAAAAAGAACAATGAGCCCTTGCGTTGCTTTACATCGTCACACGTTTTCAACAAAAGCAGTTCATCCAAGCGCACTTAAAGCGCTAATTACGCTGTGGCAACCTTGTCGGCTGCTCGCGTGTGTCAACCTCGTCTGCTCGTTGCTAGCACACCACAGCAGTTACACTGCAAAAAACCGTGATCGCTTTAAAAAAATGATGTAAGTGTAGGTGCGCTTGGATGAGCTATTTTTGTTGAAAATGCAATTTGCACTGCATGGCTTGTTGTTCTTGTAGTGCTACCTGGGTACCTCATTAAAATATAAAACGATTCACTAGCACTGCAGGCATGCAAAAATGATGCTTCTCAGTGCTTCCTGGTCAACTCAACCCCAAGTCAACTCAACCCAAGTCAACTCAACCCTTAGTCAAGTCGACCCCAAGTCAAGTCGACCCTTAGTCAAGTCGACCCCAAGTCATCTCGACCCTTAGTCAACTCGACCCCAAGTCATCTCAACCCTTGGTCAACTCAACCCTTAGTCAAGTCGACCCAAATGATTTTACTTGTTTTAAGTAGATTAAAATACAATATATATAATCCCATTGTTTGTGCAGTTTGATTTCAAATCAAACTTCAAAGAAAAAAACATTTCTGCCACCTATAGATCAAAACGAAGATTTGAAATGGATCATAAAATCCCAATCTGATTGTTTATGACACCTGACATGGGTACGATAATGGAAATTGTAAAATCATAAATCCCATTGTTTGTTCAGTCTTGTTTTAAAATCTAGATTCAAAAAATAAACATTTCTATCGCCTATAAATCAGAAGGAAGATTTGAACTATATCATATTGTTTATTGTTTATTATTATTATCAAAATATAAAATCATTCAATACAAAGTAATGGATGGATGTTGGCACAATGCACATGTTGCATAAGTTACCTGTTGTCAAAAATACTGTTGCAACAATTTCGGTATAACAGAAAAGTGTATAGATAATTTTTTTTTTCAGAGAGATAAAACAAGCTCAAATATGAAGGGGTGAAATATATGTATAGCATCGTGAATAGCCCTATTAAGATTAATCAAATATTATTTTGGTAAATAAATGTCATATTTATAAAAATTATAAATGCGTTAAGCACAAACTTCAATAGTTGAAAATTTTATTTTGGAAAATTAGCATTTTAGTCCCTCATTCTTTCAAAATTCATCAATATCATACCATGAAAATAGTATATCTATTTGTTTTTTATGGTGGGGTCGAGTTGACTAAGGGTTGAGATGACCAAGGGTTGAGATGACTTGGGGTCGAGTTGACTAAGGGTCGAGATGACTTGGGGTCGACTTGACTAAGGGTCGACTTGTCTTGGGGTCGACTTGACTAAGGGTTGAGTTGACTTGGGTTGAGTTGACTTGGGGTTGAGTTGACCAGTTACCTTCTCAGTCTGGTCAATAAGAACACAATATAGCCATTCTTTATTATACAGATGAAGATAAATGGTAATTGAAGAAAAAATGTTATAGGGGAAAACGTTGAACATGTGTGAGAAACTAAACATAGTACCATAATTAGGCAAAATGGTCATGCAGGTCAGGTTATTGACCTCTGGTTAGATTAACTATATTCTTTCTATGCTATTGTTGAAAATCTTATGCTATATACTTATTGACTTATTTCACCGATTTCTTGTTCAGTGATCCCCTGAGCTCTGACTGCTGCCCTCCTTAAAATCTCAAACTAAATCCTCATACTTGTAATTATTTTGTAATGTCGCAATGATTCTCACATAGATCGATGATACTGACATATTTAAAATTGATCTGTTTGCTATATATGTAGCTCAAAATTCCCCATTTGAAATCAACTGGTACCTTGTAGAATACGTTTATGTAGTTTCAATTTCTAACTGTTTATGCTTTTTTGCAGACAGCGAAGGTGTTAAAACAGTATCCGTACTCCTGGATGACGAAGAATCAATTATCAACTTCAAGGAGATGCGTGATAATGAGGTAAGAGTCCTGTGATTTTTAAAAAAGTAATTTTAGTTAAATTGGATGTTGAATTGGTATTTTGTGTTAATGTTATTGGTAAATATTTAATCATATTATGAAAAATATGGTATATTTAGCCGATGTTGGTGTTAAATATAGTAATATTGTGTGTTAATTTATGAGTACTATTATTTGATATATCGTTATATGAGGTTTAGATATTAAGATTTATGTGAGATTGAGATATTTCAAGGTATTTGAAGTTAGATCAACCTGCAAACGCATGATTTGATATATCAACTATGTACTATTCCACTATGTACCTTCCTTATTTCCCCGCAGGAAGGAACGGAATCGATGCTTTCTAAAACGTTTCCTCCCCGCAGAGAGAAACAGAGTGAATGCTTTCTGAAGCCTTCCCCCATGCAGGAAAGAATAGAGTGAATGCTTTCTGAAGCCCCCCCCCTGCAGGACATAATAGAGTGAATGCTCTCTGAATCTCTTTCATTTCCAGGAAAAAGGAACAGAGTGAGTAGATACTATCTGAATCCCTTCTTCCCCTGCAGAGATGAACAGAATGAATGTTGTCTGAGTTCTTCCCTTTCCCCAAGAAGGTACATCAAGGTACACTGCTAGACTTTAGCACGGATATTTGACACATATCATATTGATTGAATGTCTGGTAATGTCTGAGTTCTAGTTTGATGATCTGGTACACATGTTTGAAATTGTTCAATCCAGTTTTTATTGTAGACACACTTGCTTAAACGCTGCAGGAGAAATGGTCAATCACAAGATTGCATTCTTCCATTGTTTTCTGTTCGATTCTTCTTGCTATCCCGCTTTTCATATCAGCAATAGTTCTTGTGTTATCCTGGTAGACATTAACCTTCAGCAATCATCACTGGAGACTTGGTTTTGAGGTGGTGTGGTGGCCTCATCCTATTGAAAACTCCACTGGTCCTTATGGACACCTTGTTTACCATTTAAGGCTCTGTAGAACCTGAAGATTGTCGACCCCTTTTGCATAAGGACCTCTTAGGATTTCGTCCAACAGATTCCCTGAGTCGATGTTCTGTTCTGTCCTATTCTATAGTCCAAATCATGTTGACTTCCATATAGTCTTAGCATTCAAGCGTTTTGGCTTTAACTTCCTAAAAATGAACAAAGGTAAACTTTCCCAAAAGTTTATGAGTATCTCCTCCCGCAAGAAGAAACAGAGTTGATGAAGTCTGAATCCCTTCCTTCACCACAGGAAGGTACAGAGTGGATGCTGTTTGGAACCCTTCTTTTACCCGGAGAGAAGTCAGTGTTGATCATCCCTGAAGCTCTTCTACCCAGGAACGAACAGAGTAGATGTTGTCTGAAGTCTTTCATCCTCTTGTAGAAAGGTCTAGAGTGGATGCTGTCTGAGGTCTTCCTTCCCGAGCTCCCTTGAGGAAGGAGCAGAGGGGACAGTATCTGAATGCCCTTCCCCTTGGAGGAAGGACTAGGGTAGAGCTGTCAAAAGCCATTCTTTTTTCCTGAATATTTTTGGATACTGTCTGAATCCATTTCTCTCCTTGGAGGAAGGATTGGCGCGATGCTGTATGCACTGTATGGAGCCATTCCTCATCCTTTACGAATGACTTTGATGAATAGTGTCTGAAACTTTTCTTCCTCCTGTAGGAAAGAACGGTCAGAATACCTTTCTCCCTTTAGAGGAAGGACTGTCTCGAGTGGATGTTGTCTGAATACCATTTCCCTTTGGAGGAATGACTCTAGTGGATGTTGTCTGAAGACCTTCAGCCTCCAGTAGGACAACCCTCCAGTAGGAGTGGATATTGTCTTAATACCCTTTTTCTTTAGATGACGGAACAGAGTGGAAACCGTCTGAATACATTCTCCCTTTCGAGGAAGGAACAGAGTTGATGCGTCTGAGTATATTTCTCCCTTTTGGGGAAGCCCTACAATCTCCTACAAGAAGGCATAGAGTGGAAACTGTATGAATATGTCTATATTTGCAGTAAGGACAAGATTGAAAGCTGACATAGACATTCAAAATGACTATTTATTACCTTACCCAACAAGACAAAAATGTTTATGTCCTAGATCCCAGATTTTCATACCATGAAACAACCCTAGGATTCAAATGAACCCAAAAAGTGTTCACTTGGAACGTGCCACGGATAATAAACCAATACCAATGAACCAATAAACGTGTACAACTCTCATGTACAACTCATATGCTAGGTTTTGCAGCAGCACAATGTTTCAAGTAACTTACTTCAGTATTGTAAAACACCAACCTGGAAATTGCAATCGTATACTGACAATTTGTTGCTTTTGGTATTAATAAGAACACATTTCGAACAGGGTGAACTACGTATAGTAACGAAGAATAATGATTTAGCTGATTAAATTAGCTGTTCAAACGGTCGACTCCAATTTAAGTTACTTTATGTGTGTTGGTTTCTCAAAACAGTTCAGAAAGAGTGCAATATAACCAACAACCCACCAAATATCATTTTTGAATGGTTGTCAAGGTGACAAATTTACTCTACAGATTGATTTTGATATTTTGTCAACTCGACCCTTGCAAAAAGTTTCATTAAAATATGTTCTTTTAGTGATTTCATATCTTGTAGATGATTTCGTAGAAAATATTTTGCGATCTGTGCAAAGAATATTAGCCCAAGACTGCATTGACTGATTCATTCCGTTCAGGCGTTGTTTCCTAAAAACAACACCTTGGAGGAGTGATAATCAGTCGACAATGCACCAGTCCAGGGCTTAAATCCTTAAGTATAGGACAATTATTATTTTCATACAAGTGAAGTCATTCAGTTAGCTACATGTAAGTATTATGTAATGTTATTCAAAAGTATCTGGTATACGAGTTAAGCATAGCATAGCAGAAATTACATTTTGAGGTATTTCAAATAGTTTTATTATATTTGGAATATATTCATTTTATGTATGTTATGTTCTTATGGTCTTCGAAATATGAAACAAAACCCAGATTGAATTAGATCTGTGGCAACTATTTTAGTGTTTTTTGCACATACGGAGCATATTATGCAATTATGCACACCGGCAAAATGGGTGCACTAACCACATTTGGGCATGTTGTCATAGTGCATCACCTTGTACCAAATGACACTACTTAACATAATTGGACAGTACCATATTGAAACAAAAATAATTGTGATGAAAAACCATGTGATATTCATTTAGAAGTCGATAACCAATTTCAATTCTTTTACTTTTGCTGGTGATTATTGAGGTTACAATACTAATTTCAGAATGTACCAATACCATCCATCATTGCTTGCCAGAGGTTACCAAATTCTAAAAGTAGGACTGCAATATACATTTCCTTTTATATGTGACACAGCCAATTTCATCAAAATGCTTCCGGGCATGTCATTACGACGAATGGAAACAGCTCATAATAAGAAAAATAGTCATTTTACCTTGGTGATAAACCTGTTATTATATCGATTCCACTACTTCTCTTTTGGAGGCGTGTTTGAATTAGGCGTTCACAAACTAAGATAATTAAGACATTATCAAATTAAGCCATTCTATCTCAAATGGCTGTTTTAGAATATACTGTATTAAATAATTCATATTTCTGTTTCACTCCACAGATAATTGATATTCAGTATTTGAATTATATATTTATGTCAGTATAGTTGAATTGATTTTCATTTCAACCAAAATGTAGTCAATTCTCGTTTATAATTATTAATTACTCAGCAGAAAATAACAGACTCAAATAATCCTTGGGTATGTTTTGAATTATTAAATCATAGTTGCTGTGGTGATCCCGAAGAATTCTATGAGTAATCTGATTTAATAGTTGGTTTGAAACAAAAATTTATACTTTTCATAATAAATGAATTAACAAGTTGTGTTTATCACTATTCCAATGAATGGGGCCCATATATTTATCTACAAGTGCTAAAACAGGAAATATCGAAAGTTATTAAAAATACAATAAGAAAAAATGCATGAACATTTGGGAGAACAACCAGTCATAAGGAAACAATCCCTAACATCCCAAACTGATTTAACGTTTTTTCTGGAAGTATGAAAGTAAAAACGCCAGACATTTATGGTCTGTTCGGCTTATTGTTGTCAGCATTCGTTTGTCTTCATTAAAGTACGTCTAACTCTGCTTGGAATTCTCTTCAAGTGTAACTTTTGTTGGAAATTGAGGAGTTAACGGCAATTTAGCTACTCGGCAGAATTTGATGTTTTTCTTCTTGAAATGACACGTGATAATTTTTTCTCCTCTGAGTATTTAAAGTGAGGAAATATCGATTGTGCAATCCGAGGTTTGCGCAACTATTCAAACTGTAACAAGGGTGCCCCCTTCAACTATGCGGATAAGTATTTACTCGTGTCTCCTAAGAAAGGAAAACAAGTTATCTGTCGTTCGATTCAACCGTTTCATCGATAATGATACAACGGTGACATTCCACTTCATTCTCCAACATCGTGGCTAAAGTAAACGCGTCATTTTAATTGAGGAGATTGTATGACCATACCCGGCCGCCTACCAGTTTGTTATTGTTTAGTTCTCTGTAATGATAAATTCTATAAAAAAATAATTAAAGTTGTATAAAAAGGTAAACGTTTCTATCTTTTCAGGTACAAGAAATCGCCTTATATGATGAGAAATACAAAGTTGACGCCTATCTTGTTGTATTCTCATTAATCAGCAGACAATCTTACCTCCACGCCAAAAACGTGTTAAAAACTCTAAATGAGGAGCCTCACCACTGTGCCATATTATTGATTGGTAACAAAAATGATATTGTGAGAAACAGGAAGGTATCCTGCGAAGGTAATTCATTTTTTCTTAACAACATTTTAGTTTAACAATTGTATGATGATGATATATAGACCATGAGTGTTTTAATGAGGACAGGGTATTGTATCGTTGTTAGGTTATCAGTTGTTGGTTGTGGTTTCTAATAGTCTTGTGATGTTATGTCCTCGTATGATGAAGCCACACATTTATCATGTGTTGTGTTTGCGTGTAGTGACATTTTTGAAAACCGGCAATCCTGCTACTATTGTACCTGTATATACTACATAGGAAGACACAGAGCATTTTTTAACCACCGACGTAAAAGAAAATATTGCGTCGGGGAATGTTCATTGTCCTATTTTTTATCAATACCTAGATCTCTTAAAATTAGAGTGTTTGTATCTTTACTTTCCGGACACCCTGTAACTGGCCCAAAATCTGTATATGTATGCCATGGTCCGTCATACAAAGGCAATGTGCACCTTTACAGCCAACACATGATCTCGTACAAGTCTGGTGTCTATAGCAGTCTCCAATCACCTCAAGTTTACATCGTTGTTTCGAATTATGGCATGACAAAGATACAAATATACCAAGCTCAAGTCAGCTCATGGTAAAACTAGACACCAACTTAAAATGACGGCCATTTTTGGAAACAGAAATTCAGATTTTTGACAATTACGCATCGGTATTTTGCGCCCTATAGACTAAATATCACGTGTGACGGTTGAAATTCAAGATGGCTGCTTCTTCATGTCAAAAAATTACATTTTGTCCATATTTATACAACTACATCATCAAATACGACAAAACATATTTTTAGTTAGAAAAATGAGTTGTAATTCTGTTTTAACGGTTTGCATCAAGTATCCAGGTTCATTAGACTCTACTGTCAGGGGAGAAACGAAATAATTTTATTAAAAGCACGACTCCAGCTGAGGCAAGTGCCTATCTTACTGCTTATTGCATTACGGATGGTTTATACCCAGCCTACCCCGTACTGTGCTACATATTAGGAAATAACTGTTGACAATAAAACAGCACAAAAACCTAATTTATCAAGCTACTGAAAGTAGACAAGTCAATAATCAGCGGTGCTTGAGCATTGTGAATTGGTATAAATAATTTCTAATCCCTTCATGAAAAAAGACTAAATAACAATGCCGGAAATTCATTAAAGGAAAGTAAAATTAAAGTAACACGACAATAGAAAACTAACGTGCTTTGTTGTCGATAAACCTACAAGAGAGAATATCAGGAAATGAGTCAATATCAGCCTGATTAATTGCAAACGGGTCAATAACGAAAATAAAGATGTTACATATACATGTAGTGATGGAAGGATGATAGGTAGATCACAACGAAGAAATCTGGTTCAACTGTTTGTATTTTTTAAAAACTTTTCTATTGAGCAAACAATTATTTTTTGACCATTGTCAATCATCTGAACTAATGGCCTCCTTCAGGTATATCCTCCATGTGTCAAGCAAGCAAGATTGAAGTGTCTATGGATAATGAAAACAGATCCATGCGCCTTTTGTGTCAAGCAAGCAAGATTGAAGTGTCTATGGTTGCAGTTGGATTTGGCACAACATTTATCCCAAGAATTGAATTGTATTGTATAAAAATTCGTACTACTTTGATAACAATTACGCTTTAAAATTCAAAACATATTCTGAATCGCAGGCAAGACCTCAGCAGAGCCATCTCCATTTTATTATGGGCAATAAAGATATACAATACGATTCAATACAATACGATCCAACTGTCAACTCAATATATATCTAATGTATGTACATTGGTAAGATATTATATCGATAAGGAATCATAATGGGACATCACTGATTATCCGGGAAAGATACACTGCATCTCTAACGTACATCTTTCCATTGCAGGGGCCAAAACTTCCTCAAAGGAATGTAGTTGCTATTACATAGAAACGTCAGCATCTCTGAATTATAACGTCGATGAACTTCTTGTACAAACAGTTAAACAAATTCGCAAGAAAGAGGAACGAGATGAAAAATCCAAGCGTCGAAGAAGCTCATCTGCTGTTAGACTTCGCAATGCTGCCAAAGACTTGAAACATAAAGTGTCAAAGATACAAAAGCAGCTTTCAATTACGAAGTTATAGCGGTAATATTGTCAGCAACAATGATTGGACTGTGAAAAGTTTATCGTATATTTTGTGAACGTTGACGAAATGAATTACACATTGTCCGGAAATGATCTTGTCGGCCTGAGTAAAGAATGTCGTGATTGTGCATCATATAAACTGCTATCAAGATTGTCTCATTGTAAAGAAATGGATGTGTATAGATGTTTAAATAGCCGTTAACGCTTCATATTCCAACAAAAATACGCGAGAAGGAGAACTCCCAACATTAGGGATCGCACTCGCAGCCTTTTATCAGCTCCTTTGCAATCAGAAATTTGTGAATAGATTGAGAGACGAGACTTTTACATTTACTCAGTTTCTACAGAAGTGGAAACTTCCGAGAGTTCTACATACCAAGTGGAAACGATATAAGAGACTTCTGAGTTTCACATACTTTTTCGCCACATGTGGTATCACAAACCCTGTTTTGCACCTGGGGCGGTGAATTCGTACGATCTGTGATCCGATCCAGATAAACGTCATGGTAATGATGCATTGTTGGATTAATCTTGGAATTCATCCGAACATTGGTGAATTCGTACAATATTTAAGGATTAATTTTATCCGAATCTCAATCCACCTACATAGGTGGATTGATTTTCGGATAGTTTTTATCCGAATTCCAATGTAATTTGGATAAAACTTGGGGAATCTTCCTTAACCCCAGGATCGTACGAATTCATAAAATATTAATCCGGATCAATAATCCAAAAATATATTTATCCGGATAAATTCTTGGATCGTACGAATTCATGGCCCCTGGTTCTAAACATTGGTACATTGTTATTACTTCTTATGATTATACTCAGTAGCGACACAGGTAGAGACTTCCCAGTTTACATATCATACTATGGTCATATCACAAACCCCTTTTTACACCTGGTTCTAAATATTGGTATGATGTACCCAGTTCAATGCTATTACTACTTGTGATAAAACTCAGTGGCGACACAGGTAGAGACTTCCAAGAGTTTTACATATCATATTATGGTCATATCACAAACCCTGTTTTGCCCCTTCATGCATTTCAGATTAAGCTGTTCTAAACACTTATGTGACGTTACCAGTTCAATGCTATTACATCTAATAATCATACTCAGAGGCAACACAGGAAGATACTTCCCAGAGTTTCACATATCATATTATACCCATGTCACAGACCCAGTTTTACACCTTTATACATTTCATATCTAGCCGTTCTACACGCTACAGTTCAACGCTGTTACTTTTAAATGATTATGAAAAAATTCTTACATGGTAAGCCAACATCAATTCACGATCTAGTGAAATATTTTAGCCCTGGCATCATATGCTAAAAACTCTATTTTCAGATTTGTATTAAGCTATGTGCTGTGATTCGTAAATGAATTTTCTACTAATAGGGTCAAAGCTATGCACCTACTTAGTCATCATATACACCTTAACACTTAGATTTTCGAGTCTTCCTATTTATTCCTAGTCAGAAGTTGTATAGTATACAAAAGCAGGACTATTATGGCATACTCAGATTCTATTCCCATTCTGTCCTTTTGTATGGTAGACAACTTTTGCATGTCCAGACTAGTATTCGCTTATATTTTTTCATTCCCATAGAATTGTGGTGTTAAAATCATTCTTTGTCATTCCAAATGAAAAATACTTCTAAGCGAATGTACCAAAAGGGGAAAGACAAGATAGATAGTTTAAATAAAAGTATACGGATGTAAACTCTAATTTTAGAAACTTTGATTGAACAATAACATATAAATAGAAAACAGAAATGTCTTTACAACAACGTTCCATCAATGTTTCTAATTTTTGCAGTCGGTGTATTGTATATACAAATCAGAGTATTGTATATATATATACAATTCAAATGAATTAAACTGGAGTAAAGAAAGAAAAAAGGTGCATGCATTTTATACAGATTCTGAACTATCAACTTAACAAGGGAATTCGTGTGGGTAAATATTGCAGAACATCTCTGGACGTAAATTGTTTAATCTGGCGGAGGCGAGAGCTTGGTTTAACAGTACATTCGTTTCATGTTAATAGTTATTGTCAAGGAGGATTGGCTCCCAGGATCGAAATCCATATTTTTCAACAATGTAAACGTCGAAATGTCGTTCTTTTCTGAAATTATAAGCGACTGTAAATTCAAACTAAACAGTTCAAAAGGTTCGAACCAATATCCCGATCATTTCTTGTGAGTTTTGGAATGTTTCGTTGCGAAATAAGACCAAAATTCACGATTCAAATGTTGAAGTGAACAAAATGGCGGCTATTTGAATTCGAATTTTGAATCACGACATGTCCATATATTGCACGGAACATCGATGTTACACTCTGGGAGCCAATCCTCCTTGAGTTATCGTTGTATCATCCTCTGATCACAGGGCTTCAAAATCCAGAATATCTTATTTTTTACCCCCTGCGACAAGCAGTTAGCATTTCCCCGATTAAGAACTCGCAATTTGATTCGCTGTCGCAACACTGCGACAGCAATCGTGTACACGTCATCGGCGCATAGTTAGATCACGTGATTCAGTTTAATCGGGCGCTTCCAAATTGGTTATAGCAGGGGGAAGAAGAAGGTACGGATTCTGGACACCTGCTTAGGAGGATGTCGTTGTTTATGAAGATGAAACAGAAAGATGTCGTAGTTCGTCACATCATATTTCTTAACCCTTACTGTGCAGTTACTCGGATACTAAAGGGCTTACTATGTAACAACATCATGTATGGACATCCGCTTGAATTATTAACGAATAAATTCATGGATTTCATATTCAATATCTAAACGAAATAGCACATTGGTGTCATTAATGTGATACTTGTGAAAAAGCTCACAACAGAAGTTAAACAATAATGTATGACGCATGATGTAACCTAGTCTATCCGAGTGTATCAGCAAGGTGAAGTAATGGGAGATCAGTACAACAAACCACTTTGTGACACCACTGATATTCGACCTGTGTAACCAATATATAACACTTTACAAAACTTGATTATGCTTTTAGAGCCTGTTAAACAAAAATGATATATTGCTCAATGATATATGAATCTTCTATATTGAACACTGTCATCTAAGGTTTACAATGTTGAATCGTATGATTAAACGCTCATTAAAACATGAGAGCAAATACTCCAATTTATGTATTTATTCTAACGATATATTTATCATATATTACCATGTTTTAAACAAGTGTATAGTATTTCTATATATTGGTATATTCACTTTTTAATCATGCCAAATGTTCACTGGCTTTTTATAAGATGTCTGTAGGCTTAATTAGAAAATAATTAAAAATATTATCACTATTGTTATAATTAGTATAAATTTAAATGACTCTCTATCGAGTCATTTTTGTTTCATTATCAAAAAACAATACAATGATATAGGTGAACATAGATATGATATACTATACCTATTTTTGTTTTTTCTATTAATAAGTACACATTTCGAAAGGGTGAAGACCGAACAATAAGAAACTGGACGTCTAGGGAGGACGTGGTAACAGGAAAGCCCCCAGCATACAAGACAGTCTTACCATGAAACGAAACAATTTCCTATGTGCCTCCAAAAAACACAAAATATGACATGTAGAAGAACAACTAAAATAGAAAAAAATATAATAAATATGTACCCTTATACTGTTCCTGTATATGTTCTTATAATAGGTCACTGCCAATGCATATTTAGATATATATAGGTATATATAGGTATTATACATATGGAAATGCATTTACATTTTCCTCTGGCCGGATCTTATTATACATCTGATTCTAAAATAGCTTTTTGGCCTATCATATCAAATTATTTTTCCAATAGTGTCCTTAGATCAGGATTAATTTAAACTCATATGCTATATATTATTTTTCCACTTCATCTCAAATTCGATAGCAGATTTTGTAAACGTATCTGGTACAGTTACACTATAAATGTTGATTAGGCTCTTGCACATTAACACAGTTAGTGGTTTCTGTCTAATTATTCCAAAACGTGGTGATATGAGTATGGGAATGAGTACGGATGAATGTGTGAAGGAGTAAGATGAAGAAGTAAGACGAAATTAGGATTTTCACATTTCAAGATATGGGAATAGATAGATGGAAAACGTTGGCATTGTACATTTCATTTAGTTTCCTACAACATATCATAATATAGCATAAAAAAGATGGCGCAGTTTAATTACCGCGATGCAAAAATGATAAAGAAAATAGAGGGCACCACGTAATATATCACCTACAACTTTTAAATCATCACGGCTATATAGAGAGATTATCCTATATGAGATCCAGGACATTGGGATTATCGCGAGGCCAATATAATATAATATATCTGCCCGAGGGCCAATATTGGCCAATGGTCATTTGGCTCACATTGTTCAATTGGCCACAGTTCCAAGTATGGGATAAAACATCTTCAATCTGATGAAAGTTAAAAATTTACATATTCTGATAGTAGACCGTTGTGATGTGACTCGTGATATTGGCAGCAGCTTTATGAAACTAGTTTGGAGTTTGTACAGGGTGGTAAAAAATGGAAAGCCTCATACCATTTTCCTCATATCTTTGTCATTTTAAGAAATAACTCCCTGATATTTTACACTTTTGTACATCATTTAATTTGCTACCAGCCTAGTTTATTTTATGACCATCAGATTGATAGTCACAATGTTACAGTATACACCTACGGTCTCGGTTTACAGTCTCGGGATATAATTTTGACAGTAAACCGAATGGAGAGGTCTATAATTGTTTTGTTAGTCCGAAGAATATCTTAGATTTTTCTGACCCTTGAAGTTGACTTGAAGTTGGATCCAGACCCTCGAGACGTTCATGTTGTATTTCAGTATATCGGCAGTAAGTTCACTCAATGGAGTCAAATTACTCTCCTGGGCGAAATCCACTAAAAGCTTTGTACAAAATTTTAGATTTTTCTTCGTATTTTGACTGTCTTTACTCTCTAAGAGACTAATAATATCCTCATCTTCAACATTTTTGAAACGGCTAGTGCTAGCGGCGGCCATTTAATGTCTGGTAATGACGTCATTTTAGTGGAATGCTGGGAATATTATTCACCGGCAATGCATTGCGCGGTGTACAGTTAAAATTATTCACCGCTCGTTGACCAATCAAAATCGAGTATTTCAACTGAGGTACTAACAATACTTTAAAGAAAATGCCCAGTGGCCACTATTGCGTTGTGGGGAAACCTGTACTCATCGTCTAAAATTTCCCTACCTGTGTGGATATGGCAGAGATGACCTCAGGACAATTGCACATCTCAAAAGTGAGATCATTTTTGTCATTCAGGCCATACCTACTGAGGAATGCATTCGGGTCATTGATAACTGTGCTGTTTTGCCTACAGCGCGATAATGGCCAAATCTGAAGCATGTTATTCAAAGTGCTGTAAAATTGTGACTATCAGTCTGATGGTCATGAAATATAGTTGGGTGGTTGGAAATTGAATGATGTACAAATGTGTGAAATATCAGGGAGTAATTTCTTAAAATGACAAAGATATAAGGAAAATGCAGGGTTTCCATTTTTTCGACCACCCTGTACTATTAACTAAGCTGCAGTCTTACTAAACATTTTAACATAGTACACACAATGTCAAGACATTTATGAATTATATCAAAGATGTTACCATAATCAAAATGAAAAATAAGTCATCAAAATAAATCAAGATTTCCTATTAACCTACATT